AAAACCTCTATATTTACGTCTGAGAGGATTCTAAAAACATGACAGTTCGTTCCAACAACTTGTTTTGCGTTTGACTCCAACCTTGGACCAACTTACACTTGCTCATTCAAAGACAGAAAATCAGAAAATGCATAATTACTCTGTAACAGCTTTAACATGAGTTCTACTTTGCATGAGAATTAAAAATCATTACCCAGTTAATAAAATTGATTAGTTCACTGCAACATCTAAAATGGTTTGAACTAAGACACTTTGATTATCAACATTTGTAAAATAGTAATGATAATAAAAAAGAGAGTGTTCTTTCACTTGATTATCGAGAAAGAGAGTCTCAGGATGGGTGAACCTGTATTTCTGGATTCAAATCAATAAAATGACAGTTTCTGTCCCACAAGGTTCTTAAGGTCAAGGATTTTGACCTTAGGCTTAGTCATGACACCAGATTAAGTTCACTACATGACCACATTCATGAGGGGTGCTCATATTTTATGTGAACTTTGAACATCAAAAGATTGTAACTTAAAAAAAAACTGAGCACAGCTCATTCTGCAGACATTAAAGGTGAAATGCAGTTTTTTGAAGCTAACATAAATTAAAAGAAAGTCATAAAGGACATTTTGAGTGTCTTGCATTTAAACATAATTCACACAAATTTTAAATTCATAGTAGAAGATTGAAATAATTACTCAGGTCTCTTCAGCATTTTCCATGAACTTCCATGAAGTGTGCCAAATAAATCAAACAGTGTATAGCAGTATAGTGTGAATACAAATAGCCTGTGGGTGAAATGATTCAATGTTTAGCAATCCATCCATTTTTCTTTACCCATTTCTTCATTTTTGGGTCGCAGGGGTCACTGGTGCCCATGTCCAGCAATCACTACGCGACAGGTCTCCAGTCCATCACAGGGACACATAGAGACAAACGAGACAAACAATCATTCACTCTCTCACTCACACCTAGGGACAATTTAGAGTTACCAATCAGCCTAACATGCATGGTTTTGGTCTGTGGGAGGAAACCGGAGTACCTGGAGAAAACCCACGCATGCACGGAGAGAACATGCAAACTCCACCCAGAAAGGCCCCCGGACTGGGATATGAACCAGGGTAACCTGCTCACTGAGAGGCAGCAACTCTACCAGTTGCACCACCTTCTGCCCTGTTTTGCTGTGATTTATATTTTAAAAAAAGAAAATTAAATGAAAACCTGCAATGGGTGTTTCATTCAAACAGGAGAAAGTTTGACTGATTTGGTTACTTAAGATCCAGCGAGTAAATTATAACCCAAGGAGAGTCCAGGCAGGATCGAGTGGATGAAGAAAAGTTTCAGGAGTGATTTGTGACAAGAGTGGCAGCAAAGGTCAAAGGAAAAGTTTACAAGACAGTGGAGAGACCAGTTGTGTTGTATGATCTGGAGACAGTGGCATTGACAAAAAGACAAGAAAGAACTGGAAGTGGCAGAAAGTTCTCCTTAGGAGTGACAAGGATGGATAAGATTAGGAATGAGATCATCAGAGGTACATCACAGGTTGAACAACTGGGAGATAAAGTTAGTCAGAGAGATTTATTTGTCATACTCTCCACATGTGGTGGAATGAAATTATGTACACAGGGTCCCAGTTACATCCAATAATAAACTGTAAAAGAAAAACATCAATAAGATCTAAGATATGAACTAAGAACATTAACTAAATATACACTAAGCACTAAAAACATAAAAACAATATGTCGAACACCAGCATGACCATGAGTCTGTGTGAGCAGATGAGCACGAATGAACACAGCAACATGAAACAGATCAGCAGCAACATGAAATAGATCAGCAGCAACATGATGTGATTTTTCACAGTGATTATCCTGGTTAGAGATTCATGAGTCTAACAACCTCATGGTAGAAGCTGTTCCTCAGTCTAGTGGTTCTACACTTAATGCTCCTTAATCCTCTTCCTGAGGGGAATGAGGCAAAAAGTGTGTGTGCTGGGTGAGTGGGGTCCTTCATGATGCAGGTGGCCCTCTTCATGCATCTAGAGGTGTAGATGTCTGTGATGGTGAGGAAGCTGACTCCAACAGACTTCTAAAGTTAGAGAAGTCAGACTGAGATGGTTTGGACATGTCCAGAGGAGGGACAGTGGGTATATTGGTAGAAGGATGTTAGAAATGCAGCTTCCAGGAAAAAGACAAAGAGGTTAGAGAGGACATGGAGGTAGTTGGAGTGAGGACAGAGGATGCAGAGGACAGAGTGAGATGGAGGAGGACGACTCGCTGTGGCGACCCCTGAAGAGGGAAAAAGCCAAAAGAAGACTGATCTGTTTTTAACAACTGGCATTATGACATTTTTACACAAAAATATTTTAAAAAGTCATTAAATGTTTAAATCATAAAAATAGGTGACTGAAATGTTGCTGTTTTAAGTGTTTGAAAGAAAATCCTTTAAAAAAAATGATAGTTTATTTTATTTCCCTGTAAAAAATATTTTTGCTGTATGATCACTCGATACTAAATGTTGGCACCAAGTAGAAGCAAAGTTGCGTAGAACGAGTTTAATTCAATTATATCTTCAAATAAAACGTAGCATTCCTTGAAGAAAAGCTTATCGCTCGCCATCTTTCATGTCTAAGTTGGTTAAACTTTAAAAACAACGTTACTGTACGCTCAGCAAGGTCATACTGCTAGATGTGTTGCTAAAATGTGTTTGACTCTCAGCTACTACCATAACTTTTATCTCAATATTTGTAAAACTAACTCAGTTATAACCATTTTGTCTTGGCTAATGTTGACTGGCTGTGCAGTGGCCATCTTGAATTGGGGTAAGAGCAAAAGTTATTCAGCTGTAGGTGAACTTCAGTGGTTACTTTCTGAAACTTTCATTAAAATGTTGGAATTTGAGGCTGGGGCAGCTGAGAAACCATTAAATTGGAATTTGGCAGAATTTAAATAGATTCTGCCTCAGAAAACTCGATTTTCAACTTATTACAATAAAACACAGTTGAAGCACACCATTAGAGGACGTTGTCATTTAGTTTCCTCATTTGTTGTGGCTGCTATAATTTGTGGTCTGAGCTAAGAGGAAGGGGAAATTAGAGAACGATTTAGCTATGATCAGAACAAAACCAACTCAGAAAGAAAAGCGACTCATGCAGCAGCAGTAGCTACGCAGAATGGAGACGGGTAAGATGCGTTAAATATATAAAAGTGTTGTTCTTTGCATCCGTTGAAAAAGTGCTACAATGTAATTTTCAATAAAACTACATAAATGAAAATGCATGACACTTGTTTTCAAAATGTTCTGTTATACAGTGCATCCAGAAAGTATTCACAGAGCTTCACTTTTTCCACATTTTGTTACATCACATGCTTATACTAAACTGTGTTAATTTAATCTAATATGGCAATGTGAAAAAATATTTTTTTTCTTTAGATTTTTGAAAATTTATTAAAAATAGAAAACTAATCACATTTATCTAAGTATTTACAGCCTTTGCTTAATACTTTGTTGATCCACCTTTGCCAGCAATTACAGCCTCAAGTCTTTTTGAATAATGTATGATGCTTCAAGCTTAGCACACCTTTCTTTAGGCAGCTTTCCCCCCAATCTTCTTTGCCGTACTTCTCAAGCTCCATAATGTTGGATGGGAGATATCTGTGCACAGCCATTTTCAGATATCTCCAGAGATGTTCAATCAGATTCAAGTCTGGACTCTGGCCACTCCTTTGAGATCTTGGCCATGTTCTTTGGGTCATTGTTCTGCTGGAAAAATGATTCGTCGTCACAGTCTGAGGTCAAGAGCGCTCTGGAGCAGGTTTTCATCCAGGATGTCTCTGTATATTGCTGCATTCATCTTTCCCTCTATCCTGACTACTCTGCCAGTTCCTGCTGTTGAAAAACATCCCCATGATGTTGCCACCACCATGCTTCACTGTATGGATGGTATTGTCCTGGTGATGAGTGGTGCCTGGTTTTCTCCAAACATGATGCCTGGCATTCACACCAAAGAGTTTAGTCTTTGTCTCATCAGACCAAAGACCATGTTTCTCATGGTCTGAGAGTTCTTCAAGTCCTTTTGGCAAACTCCAGATGGACTGCCATGTTGTCTTTTATTAAGGAGTGGCTTTCATCTAGCCTCTCTACCATACAGGCCTGAATGATGGATTACTGCAGAGATGGTTGTCCTTCTGGAAGGTTCTCCTCTCTCCACAGGGGAACTATGGAGCTCTGACAGAATGACCATCAGGTTCTTGGTCAACTCCCTGACTAAGGCCCTTCTCCCCGATTACTCAGTTTAGATGGTTGGCCAGCTCTATGAGTCCTGGTGGTTCCAAACATCTTCCATTTACGAATGACGGAGGCTCCTGTGTTCATTTGGACCTTCAAAGCAGCAGAAATTTTTCTGTATCCTTCTGCAGATTTGTGCCTCAACATAATCCTGTCTTGGCGGTCTACAGACAATTCCTTTGACTTCATGCTGGGTGTTTGTGCTCTGACATGCACTAACTGTGGGACTTTATATAGAAAGGTGTATGTCTTTCCAAATCAAGTCCACTCAACTGAATTTACAACAGGTGGACTCCATTTTAAGTTGTAGAAACATCTCAAGGATGATCAGCGGAAACAGGATGCATCTGAGCTCAATTTGGAGGTTCATGACAAAGGCAGTGAAGACTTAAGTAAATATGATTTCTTAAGTTTTCTATTAATAAATTTTCAAAAATCTAAAAAGACTTCACATTGTCATAATTGGGTATTGTGTGCAGAATTTCAAAGAACAAGATTAATTTAATACAATTTGGAATAAGACTGTAGCGTAACAAAATGTGGAAAAAGTGAAGCGATATGAATACTTTCTGGATGCACTGTATGATAAACCTATTGTTAATGAACATTTTTTTCAGACTTCGGTACATTCAGGCCATTACACTGAAATGAATTGTTCTATAAATTTCACACCAGACCATTTTCTTTGGAGTTTTTAGTAGATATTATTTTAATTTTCAGATAAGATGACCGTAAATGACTCATCTGGACTGGAAGTGGCCAAAAGACACATAGAGACGTTCTCCCTGGTCATCTACTGTCTGATAACTGTAGCTGGGACTCTTGGCAACGGGCTGGTCATCTACGTGACAGGCTTCAAGATGAAGAGAACAGTCAACTCAGTATGGTTTCTCAACTTGGCCATTGCAGACTTCCTCTTCACCACCTTCCTGATTTTCACTACAGTCTCTCTCCATTGGGATGAGTGGCCTTTTGGAAATTTCATGTGCAAACTCAGCTCCTTGGTGAATGTAATCAACATGTTTGCCAGTGTCTTTTTGCTCATGGCCATAAGTGTGGATCGCTGCTTGTCCATTTGGGTGGTAGTGTGGGCACAAAACAAGCGCACTGTCTGTAAAGCTCAGATCATCTGTGCTGTAATCTGGGTGACTGCTGGCATCTGCAGCACCCCCTATGCTACTTTTCGTACAGTGGAACAATTTAGCAGCTATGAATATGATGATTATGTTTATGACAGTAATATTAGTATGAAAAGTTATTGCATCTATCCTTCCACTATGGCTTCTGAAAGTCACTTTAGTTTGATAATTTTCCGCTTTGTTATGGGCTTTCTCATTCCATTCCTGGTTATACTTGTCTCTTATGTGGCCATAGCCATCCGTGCCAGGCATCTGCAGAGGACAAGAAGGCGGAGGTCTCACTGGATTATTGTCGCTGTCATTTTAACATTCTTCATCTGCTGGTTGCCCTTTCATATTTTAAGTTTTATAGAATCAAATGCGAAACAAGATCTTCAGGTCATTGTGATTGTTGGAGGTCCTCTGACTGTGAGTTTGGCTTACATGAACAGCTGCCTGAACCCCATCCTCTACGTTTTTATGTGTGACGAGTTCCAGAAGAAGATTAAGCAGTCCATTTGTTTGGTCCTGGAGAGTGCCCTGGCAGAGGACCGCATGTCATTTGCATCTTCTCGCTCGTTGTCATCATGGGTTCCTCGAAAGTCATCTACTGTTGTAGCTTTTGAGGGAAAAGATGCTAACACTTCCACAGAAAGTAAGGCAGTCTACACTGAGAGAACACAGAGCATGGAAGAAAACATGAACAAATAATTTAGAGAAATAAAAGGGAAAATAATCCAAATTGACTGGGGGCTTTTGTGTTAAATAGGTTTAGTTTTTGGTTATTTTAATAGTTTGTGGTTATATTCAAAAAAACTTTCTTGCTAAAGTGTTCTGTGTGTGGCTGATGAGATACTTCTAGATGCCCCTTCTAGATCTTTTTATTCAGTGAGCAGTGATACCGTCACATATACCAGATGAACTGACTTGTGTGGGTGTTGTACAGCAGTAAAAAATAGTTGTAAATGTTGTAGATAATAAAATATTTTGTACTTGTATGTTACTTATTTTCCAAAAAATATATTCTTTGAAATTACTTAAAATTTTAAGAACAGTTCATTTTTTTTCTTTTACAGTATTAAAGTTGTATGATTGTTCAACATTGTTTCAGAGGAAATTATACTGATTCACAAAGTTTTTGCAAGAGATTCAACATTTCGCTCCATTTTATATTTTGTGTTATTAAGTTGTGAATCTTCCTTAGAGAACTTTAATTAGCTTTTACATGCATATCAAAGTTCCTGCAAAGTGCCCTGAGACAACTTTGTTGTGAATTTGCACTATATAAATAAATAAAAAAGCTACAAATAAATAAAGTGTATAGATCTTTGTCTCACCTAAAAATTTTATCTTGCAGGATACCACAAGTGCAAACCAGCCAATTCGAACTGCTAATAACAGGAAATTGTTTGCTTCACATTTGTTATTCAAACAAAACAGCTTTTTGCTTGAACCACACCACACTCGTGCAGCTTAGATTGTTAAAAAGTAGACATAGCTCAAAAATGTTCTCATGTAACCTAATGTGTCTGATGCACCAAGTGTTTTCCAAGTTTTCCTGATACTTTGAGTTTTGTTTTCATAAAATGGAAAATAAAATCCTGATATGTGCATACTTAAGTTAAAATGGTTTGAAATACTGTACTAAATAAATCAAGTATTTAAAAAAATCATTAGGACCAGGCTGTCCATGTGTAGCGTTTTCTGTATCAAAATGTTAATGAAGACAGGGTGCTTGTACTACAATTTATTATACTTGTAATTAACATTTACAAACTATAGGTAAATATTTTATCTGTAATATCCGTATATTGGGCTGAAAGCATAAGCACATCAATAAGAGCTGTCTGCAGTTTGAAAGGTACGACTCCTTTAGATCTGGAGACTGTGTAAAATAAAATGTGGTTAGAACTACGGGCGGCACTGTGGACCAGTTGGTAGAGCTGCTGTCTCTCAGCGACAAGGTCGCTGAATCAAATCCCTGCTGGGGGCCTTTCTGGGTGGAGTTTGCATGCCCTCTCTGTGCCTGACCAAAAACATGCATGTTAGGCTGATTGGTAACTCTAAATTGTCCCTAGGTGTGAGTGAGAGAGTGAATGGTTGTTTGTCCCTGTGATGGACTGGAGACTTGTCCGGGGTGTCCCCAGTCTCACACAGTGACTACTGGATATGGGCACCAGTGACCCCCGTGATCCGAAAAGAAGTGGGAAAAGATTATGGATGGATGGATGGAACTCCTGGATAATGGGACATGGATAAATAGTGAGGTAACCTTGCAAGACATTTTGCCCACATAAAAAAATTCTAAGAAATTATGAGGAAAAAAAAAAAAAACGGTAAACATCATTTTTGATGCCAAGCTAATGAAAATTATACTGTAGTTTCACGTGTTTGTTTACCTGTGTGGGAAACATTTCAACTTATAAATCATAACTAGATTTCAAAATTAAGTACAATACTGTGTGCAGTTTCACTTTTAAAAAGGAAATGAGCATTTCTGAGGAAAACAATATAAACATATCGTCCAACTCTTTTTAAATGAAGATCTTGCACGAGTTACTGCTCAGGGTATGCTTTAGGGATGGATCTCAGCTATGAAAGAAACAAAATGTAGCTCAATATCTGTAAAACTGACGGGAGAAGTACAAAACAGAACTGGTTCTTTGTACTAAAGATGCTTAAATAGTAATTAGGTCAGCAGCTCTACAAGTGAGTCACTACACAAAGGAAAAGGCTTGAATAAGAATTGGTGCAGAACTTACGTAGAGTTCAGTCTCACCAAACATTAAATAAACACAAAAGTTACAAACGTCAGAAGAATTGTGGTTATAACACTTTTGTTAATATTTTCCTCATAAAAATCATCTTTGTGTATAATTTTTAAAAAGTAGATAAAAGATCACAGCAACTTTTAAACTACTTTGGAAAAGTGAAGTGTGTTTCCACAGAAGGTATTGCGACATTGATTTCCTTTCTCTGCCAAGAAACCCCACAAGGTCTCTGCTCCACTTCAGTTTTGCTCATGACATGTCAAAGTGTTTGGTTACTGTGAAACCAGTGCAGTGAAAAAACTTTGTGGGTATACATGTTAACCTCAAGTCATTTCCTTTTAAATGAATAATATTATATTATTATCCCACCAAAGCTGAATGCAGTGAGATTGTAGGCAATGATATCTGTAATCTTTATAACAAATATACAATATAATTATTTAAATTTAATTCCCATTTACTTGTAAGAAGCTTTATAGTTTGTTGAGAAATAAACAAGAAGTTAAAACAAATAAAATCTCTATTTTTTTATTTACTTCTGCTTATTTCTCTGAAATCTCAAATCAAAGACGTAAACCTGAGGTTATGGTTTTTGGTGTTAAGAACGCTCAAGTCACAAATACTACACACAACTTAATCTATTCATACATTTACACATTTTTAAATTAAGTCCCTCACACGACACTACAGGATGAGTGCACATAAGAAATGTTAACTTTTATATATACAAAACAAAAGAATAAAAATCTTCTAGAATCAGAAGTTCTGCTCATGCTTTTCTGTGAATCTTTGAACTAAATGTAAAACCACGGCTCCGTTGGAAATAAAGACAGTCCATTCTGTACAAGACAGTCCTGATGTGTCAGTGATCAAAAAGGTCCTTCATCTCCTTCAGAATCTTGATGCTTTCACTGTATCTTAACTGGTTCTTATTGGAGCACTCTTTCCATCTGGAAAAAAAAAACACACAGAAATTTTCAAAATTAGCCTAATGCAAAGTGTGCAAAATGATCAATTACACAAGATCCATGAAATGGTTTCCCCTTATAAATGTACCAGTACTTGTTTTAACAGAAGCCAGAAGGGTTTAGAAGAATCCATCCAGAGGACCCGACTTAAGCTTTTTAGGTTTAGTTATGTTAAAAGTTTGTAAAAATATGTGAAGCTTAAGACTTCATCAGAAAAAAATTGGACAACAGCCACGTTTTGATAGCTCGTTAATTAACAGAAAAGCGGTTTACTCTTGCACACTTTTTATTAAATCTCTCCGCCCTTAATATTTTCTAAATAAAAACTAATTACATTTCCCCCCTAAAAACTTACTTTTGTCTTATCTTTTTCCAGCGTTCCATATGATCACTTATAAGAGGGTCTGAAAGAGGAACTTCACTTAACTGTGGGGAGAAAAAAAAAGTTCCCTTGTTTAACACCGTTTTAAGCAGATGTGTGTACGTTCTGAATCACAACAAATGTAAACCACATATTGATCAAGAACCTTGGAAAAAGCGGGCTTTTCAGTCTGTGGGATCCTGAGATTGATGGGTTCTCCAGAAGAACTAAGTGGACTGGAAGTTGGAGGAGGGAGTCGAAACACATTCTGACCTTTACCATTTAACATGTCTGTAACCTGGTAAAGAAAAAAAAAACAGTTTTAAATAATGGAGCTCAATAACGACTTATAATAACAGTTTGAAGTTTTATGATGAGCACAACAGTGAAGAGGAGACTGCCATCTGTAGGGCACTTTCTGGTAAATTCACTAATATACAGGACCCGAATCTGCTGTAAATTTATCTTAAAACTCATTAATTTATTTTATACAAAATGCCCAGTTTTCAAAATAAATGCCAGTTATATCACAAAGTAACTAACGCCTGGTTTGACTTTTTCATTCGATGCAATTTCAGGATGCAAACAAAGGAATACCTACAGGCGTTTATGCATTATGATCCAAAATTAAATAAAATTTGTATTTTAGGAAACAAAAACCAGAAGAGTTGATTTACTAAACAGTAAAGAAGACTAGGAGACAAAATATAGCATCTCTTTTTAGAGCCGATGCAATTAATTTGATTGTAAAAACAATTTTGAATTCTGAAGATTAGGAATAAATGTTTTCCAGCCCCTTGTTTTCTCTCTTTGTTAATGTTTGCAAATGTGGGACAAAATTAAACAAATTAAGACTTTTTTTTTTTACAGTCTCACCTCATCTTCAGACATGCTGTGTGGGGAGCTTGGGGAAGCTGCTGGCTCTCGGACAGAAGGATTGTTCCTCATCCAGGCACGGCAGATTGGATATAGAGGGGTACTGGTGTTAAACTGGGCCAAATCGACACTGCGATCAAACAACTTTATAACATAAGCATCTAGGAAAAGAAAAAAAGAATGAAAAAATAAATAAATAAAAGAAGTGCAGTTAAGCCCAACCCCCATCATTTATTCATGTGGAGAGTGGTGGCGCAGAGGCTAGAGAAGATGGGCCTGTGATCAGAAAGTCGCAGGTTCAACTCCTGGTACAAACAACATCAAAATGTGGGTGGAAAAGGTGAAACGCCTACACCTGACTCCACCCTCATTCGCCCCACTCTGGGCCCCTGACCAAAGCCCTTAACCCCCACCATTTGCTCCCAAAAGCAGGTCTCTCTTGAAAATGAGTTCTTGTGACTCAGTGAGATCACCTGTATAAATAAAGGGTAAATGAAAAAAAAGTTTACTGAATTTACTTTGTTTATGCTGATTGGTCTCTGGAATGCCCTCGTCAATCTCCTTCCGTTTCTTCCTCCGGTGCTGTGGATATCTTGTTGAAGGTCTGAAGAAAATAAATTGAAAATCACAACAACGATAGAGACTTGCAGAATGTATGACAAGCTCACATTTATTTCCACTGTATGAAATACAGTGTTGTAATTTACAAGAGTGGCAACAAAAGCCAAAGGAAAAGTTTACAAGACAGTGGTGAGACCAGCTATGTTGTATAGTCTGGAGACAGTGGCATTGACAAAAAGACGAGAAAAAACTGGAAGTGGCAGAAATGAAGATGTTGAGGTTCTCCTTAGGAGGGACAAGGATGGATAAGATTAGGAATGAGATAATCAGAGAAACAGCACAAGCACAGCTAGAACAACTGGTAGATAAAGTTAGAGAGGCCAGACTGAGATAGTTTGGACATGTTCAGAGAAGGGACAGTGGGTATACTAGTAGAAGGATGTTAGAAATGCAGCTGCCACGAAGAAGACAAAGAGGAAGGCTAAAACTAATATATATGGATGCAGTTAGAGGACATGGAGGTAGTTGGAGGACAGAGGATGACGAGGACAGAGTGAGATGAATGATGACTTGATGTGGCAACCCCTGAAGAGGGAAGAGCCAAACAAAGAAGATGATCTTAGGTTGTGAGGGGAAAAAGCTTCATGTTGAGCTACAAATGTTTTAGTTCTGCTATGCAGATACAAGAGCAAATTTAAAAAAAACCTGAGTAAATGACACCTACCTTTTTCCAGCAGATGATGGAGACAAATCCCTAAAAATAACAATAAAAAAAGTGCTCAACGACTATACTATAGCAAAATTATAATTATTTATTAAGATATGTGAATCCTTCTATAGGAATACATTTTCAAAGACAACAAACTGGTTCATACTTATTGAGAGTGTCTACTGATAACTTTCCTGGATCACTCTCACTTGGCTCTCTGTTTGAAGTACAATAAAAACATTAAAATGTTAAAAAAAGTGATAATTACGATGCATATTTATAAAAAATGTTTTACGAACCGCTCATTTTCACTCTTCTCCACAAGACCTTTGAGCACAGCATCCAACTTGCTGCGAGCAGCATTACTCTCTAAATCTGAAAATAAACACATACCAAAACAACTACAGCTACCCTTGTTTTATTACAGTCTTGTTTTGTTTGTTTTATCGAGAAAAAGCATGCACAAGTAATAACAACAATATTACTGTATATTCATCCTAAATTAAGTGCTGCTGAAGAATCTAAACATCTTCAAACATTTATTATTATGTTTATGATCATACCTGGCCTTTCGGTTTTGATCTTGACGTGATGCATTATCCCCAACTTTTCCTAAATGTACTTGAAAGAATTCAGACTTTGAACGCTGACTTGTTTTTAACTACTAATCGAGGAGCACGGTGTCTTCTTGTACACCTTACTGCTTGCTAACTGCACCGTTAGCTTAGCTTAACGCTGTTACCTTTATAAATCGTTAGCCGCCCTCTGCTGTAACTAATAAACGTTAAAACCACTTCACGTAAGTAGACGTTCAGTTACATGTACATATCCTAATGACACGTATCGAACTACTTCTATATATGTACCTAACATACCACAGACAGTTGGTTTTATTGTTAAAACGGACAGTGGAACGCACTAGCTGAACAACCGTTGCTAACTTAGCTTCTTTTTTTGACAAGCTCAGAGCCTTTGCAGGCTTTCCTCTTCCGCGCGCTGCCGCTTCTCTCTCACCTGATTGGTTCCTTCGTAAACAATATCCGGCCTGTGATTGGATAATAGTCATGCTCATCATTTATGCCTGGATTTCTATTGGCTGTTAGTTGTACGTAAACAGCTGCGGATAGAAATCGTTGTGCTCCTTTAGGTTAATCGAAACAACTTTTCTAGTTAAAGCTAAATAATTAGTGATGGCTTCTATTTCAATGTAAGAGGTTTAGGTTTAATAGGTATTAAACTTGCCTAACGTAGTTGTGTAATTTGTAATTTAAAAGGCTATTTATGTCGTTCAGGCTTTTGTTCCATGATAACTCGGAACAAAGCCAAGCAAGTCCAGGCGCAATTGATTAGTTAAGATCAAGTGTATCAGAGAGCCTTTTCTTTACATTTATTCTAGTGTTCACTGATGCATCATCTCTGATCTTCTGGAGTTGCTATGAAATCTAGGTAAGATCTTAAGAATACTGTTTATGCTAGTAGTTATTGTTGTTCCACTGCAGTAGTTACAGTCTGTCTGTTGTGTTAGTGGGTCAGTATTTACAACGCAGAATCCTTTCCCACCTGCATCAACTGTGAGGAGAGCACACTACCATCCATCCCGCAAGCAATCCCTGTCAAAGAAAGAGAAGAAAACTGTATGCCAGCCTTCTACACAATGCTTAACTCACCTAATACGTTTAGTTTTTTTCTGTTACCTAAAACATGTTACATACTTATTATTATTTTTCAGACCCTGAGTCCTGTTCGTTCTAATCAGAGCTCCAGTCAACAGCCACGTTCTCAAACCCAGGAAACACAAGAGTTAAATGAGAATCATGATGATGGTTTTTCTGTTCCTGATGGACATGCGTACAGAGAGACATGGCCCTCCACTGACCGCGGATCCTCTCCTGACATGTTGATGGACAAATGGGCTGCTCTATCAGAGACCATTTCCTCAGGCGTTCAGGATGAGTCAGTGCATGCAAAGTATATCCGCTGATGTTGTTTTGATTAAGTGGTAGTTCATTTTTATCTCAAAGCATTAACTTTTGCTGTCATAGATACGTAGAACGTTTTCGCCACGGTCAGCCTTGGAGTAGAGAGGAACGCCAACAGATGGCCTCTGCCAATGAAGAATGGTGGGCGTCGCACTCATCAGTCCCCAGTTCAACTCCATCTAAAGCTGCATACAAAGGTATATTTTCACTTACTGCTGCATTTATTTGTAGACTATTAACAAGCTCATGAGTTTTGTAGCATCTCTGTAATAAACTTTCTGTGCATTTATTTTTAATTCCTGGACGTATCTTGCCCTTCAAAGATGGCCATGATCCTGCCAGTTACAGCCCAGCTGGACAGCATAAACATGAGACGTCCTTCTTTGTGAGTGTGAGTTTACAGGAAGCGAGCCACAGTTATAACCTGTTGGGTTTTTCCACAACCAATGAAAAATAGGTCCCTTGTTTGTGAAAAATGTGAACACAAACTTGGGTTTATTTTGTTAAACATCCCAAAACAATGCAAAAATTACAACTCTTATTTATTTACATATAAACATATATATATAAATAAGTATATATCTCGGTGGATATATATATAT